TAGTCCCTGGCGACTTCTCCCGGCCGCTGGCTTCCCCCGGGGAGCAGAGTGAGCACGGGCCGGGGGTGGGCAGAGCGAGACGCCCGAGCTGTGAGGGTGTGTGGGGAGGAGGACCCAGAGCTGCGGCCCCGGAGCGAATCACTGCAACTCGAAGTCGTGTGCAGCATAGCAAGTTTCAGGAAAGTAGTCCCCTCCTCCCTTCATTTCCCAAATCGGAGGGAGGCGGAGGGATACGCCAGGCACCGAGCTCGGTGTGCGTGCGCGCGCTCCAAACTCTTGGCACGCCGCGAAAGGGGGCGGGGGTGTGAGCTGCACCGGGAGCTGCTGGGGAGGCTGCATTGTTGCGGCAGCGGTCCTCCCAGTCACTCGTTTTGGAATATTTGAACGAAGGAGCTAGAATGACTGTGCCCTAGGAGGACCGGGGAGGCTACTCGGTTCTGCCGCGTGTGTTCTCCTTGCAGAGCAAAGAATGGAACTGGCATGAGTTCATCTTTGGTTGGTGGGGGTTAGAAGAGGGACTGTACAAAGAGAGCTCCGCCTGCTGTCCTCTGCTTGCATCGCTGCAGTGTCCTAGCTGCATGCACAACGGGTGTGTGTGTGTGTGTGTGTGTGTGTACACGTACGCGCGCGTGTGTTAGAGAAAGAGTTGTTTTTAATGCCTCGGATTCTTACTGCTCAAAGGGGTATGCCGTGCAGGGCATTCATCTCCGAGCGCTAGAGTGGCTGTTAATGGAGAACGACTTCCATTGAAGCCCAGGGTAGGCGTGTTACATGAATCTGGCGCAGCCAGAAGCACAGGAAATAACTCCCGCTGCGAGTGAGGTTGCATAACTGCAGCGCAGAAGATGCCGCTGTGGCATCAACTGCTCTGAATGGAGGCGGAACGAGAGTTGAATGGGCAGCTGTCACGTTTGCATTGTTAGAGGACAAAGTATGCATTCGTCTCAAAAGGATTTTGCACAGAAACCTGCTGGGGTTGCAGGTTTGGAGTATGGGGTCTCCCGAATCCGAGGACTCTAAGCCCCTGGCTCCGCAAATTCTATTATCTCTTCTCTCTCTAGAAAGCCGGCCTCTAGAGGATCCGGCCTGGGGGACTGAGTCCCAAGCGCTCCAGCTTTTCTGACGCATCTCCCTAGGTAATCGGTCTAGCACTGTGCGCAATGTTTTTCTCTTCATTCTCAAGTTTGTGCGACCTGGTGATGAAGGTTGCTGCTCCTGCCACCTTGAGGGGTAGAACAATTCCTGAGGAAGAAGAAAGTGGGAGAACCTCCCACACGAGTCCGCACTCGCCTTCTGCCATCCGTCTCCGCGAAGTTTCAGGATTGCTGCTCTCAGGAGTGCATGCTCGATTCTGTTAGGAGTGTTTTGAACATAGTAGGTGCTTAATAAATGTGCGATGAACGAATAAAGGAGCTAAACCAGTCAGTCTGCCTCCAAAAAACATCCCGTTGATGTCTGAGGTCTCTTGCAAACTGCCTCCGCAGCAGCATTGTCCTTGCTCAAAGTGAGGACGGGTAACGTTAGTGATAGGAAGAGGTGAGAGGATCTGGGATCATCAGGCTTTACTTCTGTTACCTCTGAGCCTGAGTTTTGTTTTGTTTTTGTTTTTTATCTTGTTTCTGCTAAGAATCTGTAACTGGAGTGTTGGGACTGGCCTGCCCTCCTTCCAGCACTACTGCTGACCGCTTCATCTACTCAGATTTGAATCAAGTCAGTTATAATTTCTGTTCTAGACAAGTTACTTTAAACTCAGCCTGCGTACCTAACTCATAGAGTTGCTGTACTGATTAATTTGGTATGAATATTCATAAAGCACTTAGAACAGATTAAGGGCTCAATAATAAGCCCTATGATTTTTTTAAATCGAGATAATAAACTCCATGACAAGGCAGTGGCAATTGCTCTGAAGGTTGAATATAGATCATTCAATAAGTAACTCAGATTTTTTTCTATCTACCACTAGACATATGCCCTGGCCCTTAGTAAATAATAGTTCTCAGAGTTATGATTAAGGAAAGTTGAGTTGCTTGCAAAGCCCCATTTTCTTTGGAAGAAATTTCTGTCTGTTTGAGGTTCAAGTACATCAGGGAAAGTATCAATAGCATGTTTTGCGAGAAGATAGAAAAACCATTTTGGCTGTCATTTGCAAGGTACTGTGCTGGCCACTTTCACACACAGTGCTTACCCAAAGGGGCAAGATATAATCAACAGCCTGAATTAATGCTTTTAGATTGTTCCCAATCCCATGATCAAGACAGTCACCAAACAGTTCTTTTTTCAAGTACTGTAAGTCCTCAGTGTTGATGAGTTCTGTGACTTTAAGGGATACAACGTATAACAAAACCAGTTTTACCATGGGCTAATTGATATAAACAAGACTGAATTTCCTAGGTTATAACAAAATGACATTGAATAAAATGATACTATTTGATGACCTGCTGTACACTGCAAGTGATGCTTTATTTTTTGGTTGATCCTCACCCGAGGATATTTTTCCATTAATTTTTTTAGAGAGTGAAAGGAAGGGGGAGAGACAGAGAGAAACATTGATGTGTGAGAGAGACACATCGAACCTGGGACCCTTCAGTCCGGAGGCCGATGCTCTATCCACTGAGCCAAACTGGCTAGGGCAGTGGTCGGCAAACTGCGGCTCTCGAGCCACATGCGGCTCTTTGGCCCCCTGAGTGTGGCTCTTCCACAAAATACCGACTTCTGCCCATGGGCCACGAAGTTTCAATCACACTGTACGTGCGCGCCCACACGTGGTATTTTGTGGAAGAGCCACACCCAAGGGGCCAAAGAGCCGCATGTGGCTCGTGAGCCGCAGTTTGCCGACCACTGGGCTAGGATGTGCAAGTGCTGCTTCAATGCAGACTCCTAGATCCCACTCCAGAGATTGTGATCACAGATCTGTAATGGGACTAACAAATCTGTTTTTTGTTTTTTGTTGTTTTTTTTTCAGAAGTAAACCAGGTCCTTCTTAGCCCCTCACAGACTACTCCCCCTTTCCTTGCAACTACTTGTGTCGTTGCATCTCTGAACACATCTCTAATTTAAACTTCTATAATAACAGAACACAAAAAAGAGTGGCCCAAGGTATATCTTAGGCTAAGTACATACTGATCAAGGCTAGAGACCTGGTTCAACTATGGAGGATGGATTCAACAAGTCTTGAAAAGCTGTGTGAGAGATACACATTGGCCACAGTTTCACCTTAAGTTCCAACTTCATTCAGGTGGTTGAGCACTAGTCCAGAATGATTCTGTGGCCATATCAGGGTTGGGAAGGCACGGGGCCCTTGCATTCGCTCTGTTGTATTTTCTTAGGAGGTTTTGTGGGAAGGACACTGGCACAATAGCTGGCTCTTACAGGTGGCGGCTCTCGGTAGTGGTGTCCTGAGCTTAAGAATTAGCCACAGCCACTTAACACTTAACCTGTTATAGATGATTCATTATCATTCTAATCTAAAGCATCCATGGGCCGGCCAACAGCACACCTGCCAGGTAATTGTCACTACTGTGTAGGAAATCATTAAAGTTAAGAAAGTACAAGTGGGTTCTGAGTTCCAGGTAGATATCAGACCAGAGTTCACAAGGACAGCCAAGTAGCCTGTCCTCATGGAGGCACTGGCAGCTGGCATGGGGCACTCCAAGTCAAGGCTTTCTCCTTCTTTCCAGACCACTTGGCCCATAGTGATCATCTTCTTATGAACTCAGAATTTTTCTTCTCAAATTCTTTTTATTTTTATTTTCTTTTAATCCTCATCCTAGGATATGTTTATTGGTTTGAGAGAGAGAGAGAGAGAGAGAGAGAGAGAGAGAGAGAGAAGAAGAAGAAGAAGAAGAAGAAGGAGGAGGAGGAGGAGGAGGAGGAGGAGGAGAGAAACATCAATTGGCTGCCTCTGAACACTTCCCAACCTGGGATCAAACCCACAACCTAGGTATGTGCCCCGATTGGGAATCAAACCCGAATTGAGCAACCTGGACAAGGCTATCCTCTCAAATTATTTTATTTTTGCCTTTACTGTTTTAAGCCTGTATTAATAATTCTCTTTCCCTCTATTTTTTTTGACCTAATTAACTTTTCATGACTTTTTGTATCTTTTCCCA